CACACACACTTATTGATACACTCCACTGTAGATGTTGGATGTGTGGGAGTTAACTCAAACTGAGACTGCATTCTGTACACCCTTTATAAATAAAAATGTCACAATATTAATTACTGCTCTTTTTTTCTTGTTTCCATATAGTATACAATGCTTGGATGCGGGATCATGGAGGTTCCATTGTCAATATTGTGGCTAATATGTGGAATGGGTTCCCTTTCATGTCGTAAGCTATTATTAATATCCAAATGCATGCTTGATGTCACTTAAGTCTAAACATATGTGTTTATTTTAATTTATTTATCAAATTTATTTGCTCCTATTGCGCAGTTCAGGCAACTTTGAACAGATACACATTTATAGATACAGAGACACTTTCCTGTTCCCTGCAATATTGTTTTGCAGCTTGAAATTGCTATGCAGGGAAAGTTAAAGCTCAGTGGTGGGATTTTACTACCGGTTCTATGGGCGTGGCTTGGTGTCAGCTTTGGAAGCCATATTCCACGCTGCCACATAGCCTGAGAAAGTGGGAGAGGGGTGATTTCAATTAAGTAGCTGTAAGTAGACAAAATAAAATTCTTTTGTTAGTTCAAGGTCATTTAGTATGGCACAGGATGAAATAAGAATCTTACTTTTGGACAGATTGTGATTGGGCCATGTGATGTGATCATGGGCAAGTGGGGAATGGATTTGTAGTTTGGGAAATTGTGGAAAGCCCGAAAACTTTTAGATTCGGGATTCCACAGATATGCCAGGTGCTATTTTAATAAACTTACTTTCGAGATATGTTTGTCTCGGAGTTACTGATTGGAATGGAGGTTTGCTGGAACGCTGACACTTGGTGGGCGTGGTGTAGCTTGGTGGATGTGGCTTGGTGGGTGTGACAGGGGAAGGATACTGTAAAATCTCCATTCCCACCCCACTCCTGAGGGAAGGTTACTGCAAAATCCCCTTCCTACCCCATCCCACCTCCTTTCCAGCTCCGTTCTTCTGTGCAGGGCAACAAAAGAAGACCCAGCTGATCAGAGGCAGAGAATAGATGGGGGTGGGGCCAGTCAGAGGTGGTATTTGCCGGTTCTCCTAACTACTCAAAATTTCCTCTACTGGTTCTCCAGAACTGGTCAGAACCTGCTGAATACCACCTCTGTTAAAGCCCATGTTCTCTAGCTAGTTCCCTTTTTAATCAGTATTTGTACTGTATTCTCCCAATTTTTTAATGACCTTGTTTTTGCAAAGCCCAGTGACTGTATAGATTTCAATGCAGAAATCAGAATATGAGAAAGTTTTGAAGAAATCAACTTCTGCTACATTGGTAGCAGGGATAGGTTTTCTACCAGTTCGCACCTATTTGCTAGAACTGGTTGTTAACTGGTTGTTAACATTCTAAGCAGTTTGGAGAACCAGTTGTTAGAAGAAATTACTGGCCTAATCCTGTAAGGAAGGCAGGAAGAAAATATTCTGGTGTTGCTTACAGAAACTGTCTCTCTGTTAACCCTTATTACATTCTTGGCAAGACTAGACTTCCTGTCTCAGGAACTTCTCTGGAGTTTTTTTCCCCTCCTTTGCTGGTACTTTGCTTGTGTGGAGTGACCATTCAAAGTTAAAATGGCACAGAAAAAAGTGACTTATGACCATTTTTCACACTTACAACTGTTGCAGCATCCCCACAGTCATGAGAGGCCAGGCGAGGAGATCCGTGCCTCGATGTGAGTGATATTGAGTTGGCCACGCCCAGCCAATAACATGACCACCAAGCCATGTCCACCCAGTCACATGTCCACCAAGCCACGCCCATCAACTAAGCCACGCCCACAGAACCAGTTGTTAAAAAATTTGAATCCCACCCTGATTGGTAGATTAGGAAGAACTGAAGTAGCTATACCAAAAATTCTGGAGGGCTATGGATCCCAAAAATAGTTCACAGCAACTGCTTGCAAAAGTATGGTTTGTTAGAGAGTATTCACTCATGAAGAAATAATGTTAATATAGGGCGTAAACCACATGATAGAAATTTCTGACTGAGACTACAGGTAGTCCTAGACTTATGACCACAGTTGAGCCCCAAATTTCTATTGTTAAGCAAGATAATTGTTAAGTGAGTTTTGCCTCATTTTACGACTTTTCTTTGCCACAGTTGTTAGGGAATCATTTCAGTGGCTAAGTTAGTGACACAGTTAAGTGAATCTGGCTTGTCCATGGACTTTGCTTGTCAGAAGATCACAAAGCATGATCACATGACCTTGAGACACTACAAAATATGAACCAGTTACCAAGTGACTGAATTTTGATCATGTGACCATGGGGATGCTGCAATGGTCGTAAATGTGAAAAACAGTCATAAGTCACTTGTTTCAGGGCCGTTGTAACTTTGAATGGTCACTAAATGAATGGTTGGAAGTCAAGGACTACCTATATGCTAATGCACGATCATTGGAGCTAAATCATGCTCACAATGAAACCACATCATGGATTAACATGGTATTTGAACCTGGCACATATTTCTTATCAACCAGTTGAAATACTATTTGTCTTTGCATAGACTTGTTTGCTGGGACTGTGTTAGTTGAATTCTGATTATGAAATTGTTGCAAGCTTTCTGGTTGCAGAACATTAAAATACACAGATGCACACAGATATTTTTTGCCTTGGAGGAGCTTTAAATAATATACAAGGTGAAAGAGAGGACATTTTGTTGGCCTCTAACTCTGTCCTGTGAACAATCCTAGCTGTAAGAGAAAATTATTCCTAAATTTTCAGAAATCTCAGAGATATTTGTATTTCAGAGATCGATAAAGGCAAATAAGCAGATTTGGGTGCTATTTGTATAATGTGAACTTTGAGTTAGGATGGAATAACTAAAAGGTGGAATTTTCAACCATCTTGCCTCTGGCTAGCTGAACTCTGGGTGAGAATTGATCACTATTTCTGACAATTGCCCCATGGCACCAAGATCAGATGAAATTACTGGGAGGGGGATATCTTCCTGAACTCTAAATCCAAGTTAAGATAGCAAAGTATTGTTATAGGTATTTCATAATCACAACATTTAATTTCAGTGTGGTCTAATTTAACCTGTGGAAGGAAATTAAGTCTGCCTCTGCTTTTGCTTCCTTGCAGGCACAGTGGAGCAGCAAGAGCTGGTGTTGATAATCTGACCAAAAGTTTAGCCATTGAGTGGGCATGCAAAGGAGTGAGGATTAACTCAGTTGCCCCAGTAGGTTATGAAATAAGTGATTTAGACAACAGATTTTGCTCAAACTGATTCTAACAATCTTATTTGCTTAATTTAATCTTGGATGGATGAAGATAAGAGCTTTTTCATAGGTTCGGAGATTTTGCTCATAATACAGTATCTACTGGAATAGCTAAGATTTTTATATCTAAATCTTTAGCTATACCAAAGACTGAGAAGGGGGCTGTAATTTACATTCAGTGGAGTTTGTTTTTGGGAAAGAATCACGAATGAAGGCAAATAGATGTGTCCCAGGATAATGTTGCAGAATCCAATCTGGGTCAGTCATCTGGACCAGAGGTTTTGTCTTCCAGGCTTTCAGACTCATGCTGGAGCCTATCTTCATGGTCTCAGTCACCAACCCAGTTTGGGTTTTATTTCTTCTTCCAAACATTTTTATTAGGTTATAAAGTATTATAAAATGCAAAATACAAAAATAAATAAAAGAGCAGTGAGAGGGGAGGGGAAGGGGGAGGGAGAAGTGAAGAAAGGTAGGGAAAAGAAAAGAAAAAGAAGTATTGACTTCTGACTCTCTCTGTTGCAGTAGAATAGGGCATTAACAGCAAATCATAGCTTTTTCTTTTTCCATAATAATAAGAACAAGTCATTTCTATAAAGACCTATCAATCTAATCTATAAAACCAAAGTCAAAATTACATTCTTTTCCACATCAAACATGAAATGCAGAAACAAAAGTACTTGTGTGTTTTTTTCTTTAATCAGAGTAGTCAGTTTTGCCATTTCAGCCAACTCCATCAACTTTTGCATCCATTCTTCCATGATAGATATCAAAGTGTCTTTCCATTTTTGTGCATACTTGCTGCTGTCAACATATGTAGTAGCAAAGTTCCAATTTTTTTCTCCAGCTCTTTTTCCAATAGTCCCAAAAGGAAAAGTTCTGGTTTCATTTCCAGCTCCATTTTCAGAATTTTCTGTATTAGAGTGTGAATCATACTCCAAAATGTTTTTGCTTTATCTCATGTCAGCCATAAATGACTAACCCAGATTGAGGAAGAATGTTTACAGAAGTATTTTAATATTAGCACTGGGGATGAAATTGCTCTTCAGATGTCTCTATAAAACATGTAGATATATTTGTGTTGCTTTATAAATGTAGTACGTGTAATAATTCCATTTAGTAATTAATTAAATGTAATTACTACATATACTATATTTATAAAAATAGAAACCCCAAGAGTTGTAAGTTAAATGTGGGATGTGAGGGAAGAAGGCAAGAGCTAACAAAATTGCATAAAATTTTGCTAACAAAATTGCATAAAGTCCATGAAGTCGCCAAGAATGGAGTTTGAGTCGAATAGTACTTTACTTGCAAGGATATAATTCTTCCTTTCCAATGCAGTTTGTTTGTTTGTTTATAAATCCAAGTCATTTATTTTAAGTACTGATGTTCAGAGTTTATAGTTTGTGAATGTCAAAAGTGATTGGAGTTTTTATTTCTGTGAAAAACAATAACAAAATCTTAATGTTGAAGCTGTCCTTTCTTTGGAGGGATCTATATTTTCAGAAACTGCTGTTGCACATTACGAAGATGGTGAAAATTTGTTTAAAGAGAATATTAAGACAATTCCTGCAAAGAGATTAGGACTTCCTGAAGAGGTATAGTTGATTTAATTATTATATTTTGAACTTCAGGGTTTTTAGATGATTTTAAAAATTGAATTTTGTTCTCTTCATGTTATACATTTTTATTGCTAATGTTCAGTGCAAACTGACTTTGTTATTAATTAGTGTTTTGGTTTACACAATACACTTAATCCGAATTATTGACCCAGTATACTAAACCAGAACTAAGCAAATTATGTGAACCTATTCAATGAGTAAATAAAATCTTGATTTAATGGATTACCATTAAATACAACTCAGATATATCAGAGAAATATTGTCTGGACATCTTTCTGGGTGGGCTTTTTATGCATGTTCAAAATTATATCTCATGGATGGTTTTTCCTCTGAATGGGCCATCAAACTGAAGTTTTATTATATATGTATTACAAAAAGTATTGCTTTAAATAACATGCATCTTTTGTTGAGGAGAACAAAAGAATTGGCGGCATGATACAAATCCATTCCCATTTAAATAAAGGGATTCTAAGAAGGGCAGGGCATTGATTTAGTGAAGGTAATATACCGTATACATTGTATACAGTATTACCATTTACATGTATTTATCATGGATTAGTAACAATTCTTATTTTACAAGATATTTGCATCCTGAAATGTTCATTTAAGACTAGTACTCATGGTCTTGTGTTTCCAGCTTGGTGCCTTAGCTACTGGACCAAACTAGTATTCAAATGCATATCACTAGATTATTAAGGTTTGTACTTCTTCAGATGTGAAGAAGAAAATGTGCTTTAGGGACATATAGGGGTGCTTGCTGAGAACTTGCTACCTTATAGCAGTGGAGTTCTCTGGCTGCCCCCTGCATGCTCTGAAGCAGGGCTTCCCCCGCCCCTTTTCAGCCCCAAGAACTTTATATCAATATGTGATGTTGACATGAAATGTGTTCTTTTATTTAGGACTAACTATGTGCAAAGCATTGTCTAAACATAATGTGACTAGGGTTCTACACCCTAAAAAAAATTATGTAAAAGAAAGCAAAATATGTTGGCAGTATTAGACTTGTCCTACACTTCACAATATCCAACTTCTTATACTCACTTACATCCAAGTGTATGAATGTTTCAGATGTGTATCACAGTTTGCCTTGTCTGCAGAGAAAGAAGCCAGATTATAAGCGTTGCTCTATTCTCAACATTTATTGAGCAGATTCTCTCATTACACTAAACTGTACTTCATCTTTTTGTGTTGTGTGAGCATAGGCTTTGTGGATAACCCATGGTTTTTTCCTTAACATAATAGGAAAGCTGAGTCTGTCCACCAAACCACAGAGAATATGTGAGTCCAGCAACAGAATAAGTGAAACCTGAATTGAACATCTGAAAGGCTGTGTACTATAATGATTAATAGTTATTTATTTATTTGTTTGTTTATTGACTCTTTGGTTAATATTTATTTATTTATTTATTGAACTGATGTATCATCTTGTCCAGAGGCAACTAATGTAACAATGAATAATTCTGTTTCCCTTTTAAGGTATCAGCTTTAGTGTGTTTTCTGCTTTCTCCAGCTGCCTCCTTTATAACTGGAGAAACTGTGAAGATTGATGGCGGACAAAGCCTATGCTGTTACTGGCACGTTCCAGGTAAAACAATGCTTCAAAAATTAGTGGTAACATAGCAACCTGACTGTTTTAGCAGAGGGTATTTGCTTTCCTTTTTTTCTGATGCTTTTGTCCTGACATTAAAAACAAATTTATCTTGAGGACTTCTCCATCTTAATTAAATTCCACTTCTCTTAAAAGATTGATCCAGAAATTATTGTATTGCACTTTTCAGATTATGTGTTTTTTTCTGCTAAAATAACTGCCTCAAATGTTTTCACATTGCCTACTAAATGCTGAATTTGCCTATAAGGCTTCTATAAGCTTTAAACTCTCAATTCAGATAAAGCAACATAATCTGGACTTATTTTGAGCAAGTTTTTCCTGATGCATATAACTTTTAGGTTTGTTAGATATATTCAAGTAATTATGCAACAATGTAGAATTTAATCATATGTTTACATGAAAGAATTGGAAATTTAACCATCTTTATTTAAATCCAAATTTCATTCTCCATCTTTGTGATCTTAATTTTCTCCCTTAAAGCCAAGTTATTACTTTTTAATTTATTTTCTTTCCTGGCTAAATTCTGCTAATAAAAGGAATCTAAATTTACTTAGATTGGAATTGCAAGTGCTTATAGGATCATGAGCTGTTTCCCTTTGTATGATTGACTTGTTAAATTCATTCATTCAATTTCTATGGCTGTCCACTTCTGTCAAATACTCTTCTCTATCATAGAACCCTGGCCTAGATTATTGTGATGCAAATTTGCTTCTTGAAATCTTACATTACTTTTCATTTACTTCCTTATGTTAATAATTATTTAATTTCTCACCTTTCACGTCTCTGATTTAGTTTTAGGGTACATCTACTTTCTACAAGAATTAGTGTCAATTCCCCTGATAGTGTCATTCCACAATTGTTGGAATTTTCTTTGGATTTTCCCTCCAAGAGAGCTTTCAAATAATTGGTTTAATCTGGGAATCAGCTATCGTTTGGCTTGTGTTACAGCCATTTATTTCTGTGGGGTACTGTAAGTGGAGGACCCATTTCCCTCACATGAAACAAGTTAAGGATGTGTGAAAATTGTCTCAGTTAAGGTGTTTTCTTAATTTTGAATACTATCATATCTATTATGTAATACTGTATTTCAACCAGAACTTCCAGCTTGGCTTCACATATTGTGTGAAGTCCTGGTTTGCTTAATTTTGGTTGACTAAAACAAAACTGACTAGAATAAACACAGTACATTAAGCTGCTAACCTCAGTGATTGGGGTCGAACAGTGTTCTTCTTTAAAGCAAAAATTACTAGAATTTACTGTGAGTTAAAATACAAATACAAACAAAAATTAAGAATGTTTAAAAAGAAGAAAGAGAGGTGCAAGAGAATATAAAGAGGAAAGAAAAAAAAGTAGTGACTTCCCACTATTTCCCACTTTCAGTGCAGTAGAATACAAAAAAAAACCCCTCAACTTTTTATATTACATTTCAAATATTTCAAGCCATTTATCTAACAACAAAATCATTCTAATAATCAAAATCTAAAATTAGATTGTTAGATTGTTTTTTCAATTTTGAGTAAAAAAATCCAAAAGTGGTTTTTAAATGGAAACAAAAATAGATAAATTCTTCTCTTTAATTAAAGTAATCAATTTTGCCATCTTTACCAATTCTATCGCCTTCACCATTGATTCTTCAATTGTGGGAATTAGTATATCTTACCTTCTTTGTACGCTGCTGTTAAGATACGTAGCAATAGCAATAGCACTTACATTTATATTCTTCACAGTGCTTTACAGCCTTCTCTAAGCATATTGCCCTCAACAACCTGGGTCTTCATTTTACCGTCCTCAGAAGGATGGAAGACTGAGTAAAACATTCCAAATTTTCTGTCAGTATATTTGTCCATCAAATCTAAGAGGAAAAGACTGGATTCATTTTTTTATATTTATTTTAAGAATATTATAAATTAGGGATATCTAATTGCAATATTTTTTTGCTTTGTCACCAAACCATCAGAGATCATAAAAAGTACGCTTTACAATTACACTTCCAGCATGTATTTGTTAAGGCTTCAAACATCCTTAATTGAAGCCTAGCAAACAAGATTTTGAATGTAGCCAAATGCCTGAACTCATTTATTCTTTATTGAGAAGAAAATGACTATCACAATATTCTGAAATATTAAATATATTCATTTTTTTCTGTTTTTAAGATTATATAAAAGTGACAATAACCCATTTCATTAGGCTTGTTTTTAGTATTTTTCTTTGGAAAAATAATCTTTGAAATTTAAATTAATATCATTGGTTTTGCTTTCTGAAGGAACTTTTTCTTTTCTCCTAGATCATGACAGATGGCCCCCGGCACCAGATGGACATAATTCCAAAGCACTCAGAAACATGCTTTCAGGAAAAACTAAATCAAAACTGTAATTCAAAGAAATGGGATTTGTTCCCAATTCATTTGAAAAAAGCTATTTTTCAGTCATTAATTGCAATTTTAAAAATCTGTGCCTTAGAAGAAACTTCTTAATGAAATGTTAATGAATTTTTAGAACATTCACTAGGTACAATAATATGGAACCATATAATATTAAGTTCATTGCCTGGTAAACATTGAAACTGAAAATCTTGTAACTATTCTCTAAACTTTTGGAACCTATTAGTGCATTGCCTCTGTGATCCATGAATATTCTGTCAAGAAAGTGAAATGGCTGTTTGTTAAAGCATGGTAAATGAAATTCCTGTTATATAAGACTGTGGAAGAAAGTGAAACATTCATGAATTGAATTGAATTCTTTATTGTCATTGTACATTAATACACAGTATACATACAACAAAATTCACATAATACCCAGACACCAGACTCAACTTGCACACAGACATGACAATCCCCAAACACCTCCTCACCCACCAAAATTCTCCGCCTCCTAAAAACACACAAGCATTCACACAACAGACCAAGTAATACTGTCCAACAGCTCACTGATAGTGGACCTTAAGTTCATTGTTAAGTGCAATTATAGCTCTAGGATAAAAACTATTTAGAAAACGTGTGGTTGGAGTTTTAATTATTCTGTATCTTCTGCCAGAAGAACAGTTCATAAAGATTGTAAGCAGGATGGGAAGAATCTCTGAGAATGTTGTGCAACTTCCTCAAATAGCGAGATGCGAAGATGTCATCCCTTGTATGTTTTTTTATTTTTTTTATTTGCTTACCTGTATTGTATCCAGAGCCCTGTAAATTAAAATGTGAGGTTTTGGTCTTACGTTTTCTCAATAGAATGACAGAATCTTGTGCAAGATCCTGTCTGATTTTGTCACTCTCACATTTTGGGTGGGAAGATGTTGAAATAACTATAGCTTGTAGTTTGTTGTATGACCGTTTGTTTGTTTTAATGGCTTTGTGTTAATAACTCTTGCCATAATAATGAAAGTCAGAATGACTAACATTTCAGCATAAAGAAATAGATAGTTTATACCTATGTTTCATAGTTGCCTTTCAGCCATGAATAGCATGAGTCCTAATTGCATGGCATATCCTGTCAGATAGAGGGAGATGGGCAGTTAAGAACTCTGATTGATAAATACATAAAAATAAATACATGTATGTATGTATGTACACTTTGCTGTAATATTATCTCTCACCATCAGTAAAAAAAAAACAAGTATAGACATTTTGCTTTAACTTTTCAACACTTGGATAGCTGCTGGCTAGATTCAAACTCCCACTTTTGAGTCAGATTGCTACGGTAAAAAAAAACTTTCTGATTGCTCTGGAGCAGCGGTGGCCAACTGCAAGAAAATTTTGGTGGTCCACAGAGAAATGTCACCCCCAAAGCACCCACCAAAGCAATTAATCCAGGCTGTGCGGGAACACAAGGCTGCACCACCCACATGGCCTGCAGGAACACAAGGCTTGCATTGCGAACAACATGAGGTAGTGAGGGGAGGGTGGAAAGATGGAGGGGGGGAACTTGCCCCTCTCACCCCACACGCCTGGCCTGGCCAGCGGGCTGCTTCTTTCTGCTTCTTTCTTTTGCTTTTGGCTGCTCACAAGGAAAGCAGCACAAGTCTTTCTTTCTCTCCTCCAAACTCTGCCCGAAATGAGTCTTTGGGACCCTGCAAGGCATCCTGCTCCAAGGGGTTATGTCGGCGCGACAAGTCTCACAAAGACTCATTTCTGGCAGGATTTGGAGAAAAGAAATAAAGATTTCTGCTGCTTTCCTTACATGAAGCCAAAAGTCTCTCTCTCCCCCTGAGAATGGAGCTGGAGACAGCATCCTGCGATCCCAAATAAAGAATGATCAATCGGTAGGAAAATGGGGTGGGGAATTTTCCTGCAGACTTTTTTGGGGATTTTCCCAGGGTCTCTGGTCTGCGGGATTTAAAATTATGAATTTGGTGGTCCCTGAGGTCCAAAAAGTTGGCAACCCCTTTCTGGAGAAGATACATCAAAAGATCTTATAATGGCACTTTGAATTTATGGGTTTAACCTTCAAAATAAATACTCATATTTATTTGTGTTATTTGAGAAAATGGTGTGATGGTATAGTTCAGTACTGAACAATCTTAGATCCACCCTCGATGATAAAGATAATTGGAGGACACTTTGTAAGACACTTTTGGAAAAAAGATAAGATATACATCACTATCATCATAATCCATTGCTGGGATTGGGTTTAAACTAGCTAGGTCAGGGGTGTCAAACTCACGTCGACATGGCTGTGTCATGTGATATATCGGGACTTTTCCCCTCTTTGTTAAACCAGGCATGGGCATGGCCAGCATGTGATGCATCCGGCCTGTGGGCCGAGAATTTGATAGCCCTGAACTAGGCAATCAAATCTAGTTAACATTGCAGAATAAGAATGGACTTGAAATTAAGAGCCAGGGTGGCACAGTGGTTAGAATGAAGTATTGCAGGCTAATTCTGCCAACTGCCAGCAGTTTGATCCTGACCAGTTCAAGGTTGACTCAGACTTCCATCTTTTCAAGGTCAGTAAAATGAGGATCCAGGTTGTTGGGGGCAATATGCATGCTGACTCTTTAAACTGCTTGGAGAGGACTGTAAAGCACTATGAAACTCTGTAATTGTCATTTACTTTCCTCAGCCTTGCCAACCAGTTTTGCTCTATTTCATTATCTATTTACATCTCATTTCTGAAATATGTAAAGTCTTCTTTGCTGCTCATTGTCTGAAAGGAGCAATGAGTTTTATTTAGGCCACAGCTCACCTTGAGGACCACGATACCTTTAAACCCTGTCTTAAGTTTCATAACTCAAAGACTTCATTATTAGAAAGACCATAACTTTCATAACGCTGGTTTCTGTTGTTACAGAAATATGTTTAACCTCCACAATCTTAGATCATTGAGTCCATCTCTAGGTCAAGGTATCATTGACCAAAGGAAACTATGCTAAAATGATTTATTTTTGAAAAATATTTTAAAAAATATTTGTTTTCATGACTGCTGCTTCTTAGAGGGAAAAAAAAGACATTTGAAATTACACAAAACAAGTGTGTTTTAAATCATTTTGCCTCAAAAAGCCAATAAAGGTTCAGGGACTCAAGGTTTGTGGTCAGATAATTTGCTCAGAAAAATTACTTGAGCACAAAGGGCATTACTCTAAGCTTGGTCTGTGTGGAGCTGCCACCTAGAGGAACCCGGAAAGTGTACATATTGGTGCATTACTCCAGGATGCAAAGTATATCGTAAAATGATTTTACTGGAGATGGTGGGAAGTACCGTATAACACTATCGATAGTGTGCAGAGTGCAGAGTTCTTTGTTAAGACATAGAATCTATGCATTACATATTTCATAATATATTGCATGTGTATGTATGTTTGCGTATAATATTCCATATAAATTAAGGCCACGCATTCTAGCCGAAGAGTAGTGTACATCTGCATTCTTCAAGCTTACTAAACCACAACTTCCAGCATTCCTAGCTCTTTCGCCGGACCTGCCGGGAGTTGTAGTTCAAGGCGCTTCTGAGGTTTCCCAGGGTCTCCCCGCACTCTTCCTTGAAAACGCTGTCTCTAAGCTGCGGCGTCGGAACAGGGGGAGGGGAAAGGCGCGCGCTTGCGCGATGACGTTGACGTCGCCGCCGGGTTCGGTGTCACGGGTTTCTGCGTGAGGGAGGCGGAGCTCTGGAGAGGAAAAAAAAAAAAAACCTGGAGGGGGCAGGGAGAGAGGAAGGTCTGGCTGAATAAGGTGACGGACGCGGGGTGGGGGGGCAACCGTGGTATCCTTCCCCCTGCCCCTCGCCCGCGTGAGTGCCTGGGTCCTTCAGCCGCCGCCGCATCTCTGCCTCCGTCCCCAACTCGGAGCTTGCAGCTTTCGTTTTCCTGTGGGGCGAGAGGCCGCCGGGCCTGCTCTCCGTCTCTCTCTTTCAACGCCATCCTCCCGTCTTCACCCGGCAGGGCCGAGGAGCATCTCGGGTCTCCGGTGAAAATCGGGAACCTGGACCACCCCCTCGGCGGCTTGGGCCCGAAGCCTTCAGTCCGGGGGGAATTCTCCTCCACCCTTTCTCTCCCCCCCCCGCCCCCCGCGCGCCTTAATTCTGCCCCACAGGTACGTTGGGGATGCGCGCGTGCGTTTTTGTGTGCGCGCGCGCGACGAGCTGGAGGGGGGGGAGGCACCGATTTCGGCGCCTGATGAAAAGTGAGGGCTGGGGGCGGGGGGAGGAGAAGCAAAGCGGCCTGGGGAGGTTGGGCGCTGTGGGGCGGGGGCGGGATGGTGGTATTATGAATAGCCGCCGCTTTCCGCAGGTATCCGGCTTTGGATTGCAGGAGCGACCGCGGAGTTCTGAGGGAAGGAAGTCGCTTGAGTTGTGATTTGAGGGGAAAAGATCGAGGTTCGCTTGCGTTGCCTGAAAAGAAAGAGGGGGGGGCTACATGAGCTAGCTGACTTGTACTTGGGAGGGGGTTGTGGGGTTGGTATGAGGAAGCAGTCCTGCTTTGCTCACTCCCAACGTCTTTCTCAATAAATATAGGTGTCGAGTCCTGCCCAGGTATGCCTTGCACGTACTTTTTAAAAAATGTGTCATAATTGTTTGAGATCAAACTCCGCTATGGAAGAGAAAGCAATGTTGGTATAGGCTTGGCTGTCAACTGTTAATATTATATATGTGGCCCAATTTATACAAGAATAACATTTTGTTTTGGAAATGCCCTGCATGTTTTCCCTGCCTCCAGTGTCGTGCTGATTTATACATAATATATTCTGAGAATTGTGGGTTGTTGTACCAAAAAATACGATTTTTAATGTTTTATTTTCTGCAGTTGCCTCTTGAGAAAGCACCTTTGGTAATCTGCAGGTGGTTTTCTATATTTGGGGAAGAATGTTTAATCCATCATGAAAGAAGATGGAATTCATTTTATCAATTTAAAATATAGAAACAGATTAAAATTAAGGCTCCGTAGTGTTATAAACTACTTTATAACTAGTGTTATAAAGAGATAATTTGGGTGTATAATGAGTATTATCCACGAGAACTGTACTCTGGTCAGTTTTGAGTGATCTTGACTAATAGTTTCACTGAGTGATCTTGGAAAACAGATTACAAGTAGAAAAGGTTATATTTGCTTAAGTGGTTTGTAATATGATACTCCCAGTGAATACAGGTTTTATATATTTTTGCTGTTTGTGATTGTGCTTTTAACTGCTTTTTACCATGTATTATTTGAAGCATATAGGCTCTGGGGACAACTGATTGATTGTCCCCAAATTTATGAGTGTTGCCCATCAGTGCATATTTGTAAACGGAAAAATGAACACTGGGTTTCTTTTGCCCTGTGTTGTGAAATGTTGAAATACATGCAAGGAATTTCTCTGGCTTCCGCTTTTGCTTGGTAAGCAAATTCTTCCAAGTTCGCCATAACATTGTGGGTTTGAGGCTCAAAGTCTAGAGATGCTGACCACATTTTAAAGATATTTATATTTCAGGTTCCTTTCCCTCACTCTCATAGTAAAAGAGGCTACTAGAAGCTCACTTTGAGATTTTTTTTAAAAAAGCAAACTCGGAAAATCAGTTTAAAAATAACATGTTGGTACACTTTTGATATCTGGAATAAATATGCATACAGTATCTACATTTCATAATGTGCACTTTAACGTGTTTTTTTTTTAATCAAATAATTTAGCCTTCATAGATTAGCACTGGTTTTGGTAATTATAAGTAGGCCTATACAAGCTGGTAGCTCTTTAGCAGGGCTTCCTCTGCCAGATTGTAACATTCAAATGTTTTGCAAGAGCAGTACAATCCTCAGATAATTGGCCATAAATTGTTTTATAGGTTAAACCAGCATGTGAAATTTAGTCCAGAAATCAGTCACTAGCTACCAGAGCTACCATACCATACCATAAGTATGCAATGTGATTTTAATACTGTGGAGATATAGATAAGTAGCTCGTCTACCATATTTTGCTGCAAAGATTTTGGTGCTCTTTGAGGAGAGTTCTTCGTAGTAGTCATAGTGTAACCAGGGTATAGATAACTGTTACATAATCAGATTGGCCCACAAATGGGCACACATGTAATTGTTTAAGGCCCTCTCTCCTCACTACTCTCCTAGAATAGAGTAAGATCAAAGCATTGTAAATCTTCCTGTGCAAAATGTAAGTTCTTTCAGAGTAGATGCTATCCCGGATAGAAAAAAAGCCAGTAGCTTTTTATTAATCAGCAATATTTCTGTCCAACTTGCACTAATTTATTACTTTGAAGATCATTATCAAATTTAGGCAATGTTCAATATAACTTTTTTATAGTTAGGAGAAAAAGAGCAATAATGTTGAACATTCAGACAAGGAAGAATTTGGCTTAAACAACTACTTCTCAATTTAGGACCACAATTGGGACCAGAATTTCCATTGTTAAGCAAGATGGTTGTTAAGCAAGTTGCACCCAATTTTACCACCTTTTTTTTGCAACAATTGTTAAGTGATTCAATGCAACTGTTAAGTGAATCGTGTGGTTGTTCAGCAAACCCAGCTTCCCCTTGACTTTGCTTGTCAGAAGCCATATAGAAAGGTCACAAACAGTGATCACATGACCCTAGGATACTGCAACCATCATAAATAAATGTAATAAGAGTGTGGATTTGTCATAAGAGTGGATTGGTCATAAGTCACTTTTTTCAGTGATGTAACTTCGAACAGTTGCTAAATAAATGCTTGTAAGTTGAGGATTACCTGTAATGTATGGTTTCCCCATTTCACCTGGCTATTTCATTTTCCTCTACTTATGTATTTAGTGTGTATTATTCAAATCTATACAGCCCACCATCTCATATATATATGGGAGGCTTAAGAATTATGTCTGTCTGTCAGTCAATCAGTCAGTCATCTAGGCAGGATAGCATAGTGATAAGAGGGCTGCCCTTTGACATAGGAAGTACATTTTGTTTGAATCCCAGCTGATATCTATCTTACTTTACTTACTTACAACTAAGGAAGGTCCTTTGGAAAGACCCCCTAACACTTCACCTACCTACCTACCCTAGATATGACAGTGACACGGACTAAGAGTCATGCTGGCTTGGATGTCACCTGCATTAATAAGGTCTGCGTCAGATATTGGAGAACCAGGATAATCTGACCATAAATGGGCTACTGGAACAAGCCAGACATGGACAATAGAAGAGAACCTGAAATTGGTGGAATGCTACTGGAACAATAGACCTGGTGAGTTAGCATATATATAATATACGAGGGCACTATGGAAGAACAGAAGACTTACATATACACTAATTGAGAAACAGCTAGTTACCCAGTGCTTCAGCATAAGTGAAGAGAAAGCTGTTCTCACAACTTGAGATGGATCAGTTACACATTACAACCCTGATTCAAGAAGATCCAGAAGAAGAATTGGATGTACAGGCAATACTTGAACCGGGAATGTCATTTCCATCTCCTCCATTATAAAGCACAGCAGTAGATATGAGGAATAAGAGGACAAACTAGTGACATTTAACCCCAGAGACCATTCTCAAGGCTCAGTGGAAGAATACTATCCGATAGTATGCTAGAGCAGAGTCCACAACTTCCAGTCTGCAGCCTGCTACCAGGTTGCGGCCTGTTGAGAACCAGGCTGCACAAGTGGGAGGCAAACACTCAAGTGTGCAAAGCTCCAGTTGTGCAAGTGGCACATGCTCACACACAAAACATAATCTCTCACCTCTTCCTGCTGTCACCCCCAGTCCATGGAGATGGAAAGCTTGGAGACCACTGTGCTAGAGGATGCCAATTGAGCTCTCATGGCAATCCCTACTACCACTATATCTCAAACCTACTGAACTGTTAAATACTACATAATTGTATGATGATTAAATCATGTTAAAATATATATTTCATATTTGTATGCTTATATTTTCTGTGAGCATTCTGAACAACTCTTTCACAATGCTAACTCTGTACATTAAAACAGCAAATATATGCAATATGTTGTATTCAAATCCTCTTTTCATTCTAAATGATATCTGCTAAACAGATATATCTTTTCTTCAGGCAAGAATATCCTTTGTATATTATGATTTGGAGCAAGATGAAAAACATTATTCTGACTTTCTTCTATATTACTTCTTTCTTATTGATGTAGTAGCACAACTGAAAATGAAGCCAACACAATTAGCTTACTCCTACTTCCTTAGTCAAGTGAACAACTACAAAAAGTAAAAGAGCTTATGTATTTATAGCACCCTTCCCCAACTTGGTCCCTGGCAGCTGAAAACTGGCAGAGATTTCTGGAAGTTAATGGTCCTCAGATTTTGGAGAACTGTTTCACATATTGATCTTGGCAAAAGTTCATGATGATGTGACTTGCCAGTTATCACATGACCTCACAGTACACTTGATTATATATAATATGAACAAATTATGAGCATTATTACATTCTTTAATATAGTTGGAAGCAGACATTTATGGGTTTTTTTTCTACTTAATGACATTTTATTGTTATCTACATATAGCACTATGGTAAAACTCAATTATGGTTATTTTTAGAAAATCAAGTGTTATATATTATGGTTTGAAACTAGGCTTAATTTATATATATGTATGTATATGTTTTCTTAAGTTTTAACGGGTACTTACATGTATGGTATTCAGCTTTGCTTGGGTATTTTCCCACGTCATTGTAGTTGTGCTTTTAAAGTTGTAGCAACATTTCGGCAGAATCTCATCTACCATCATCAGGCTTCTGTATTGATATATATATATATATATTTAAAAAAATCAAATTTATGATCACATGAACAACTTTTGGATGTTTAGCAACTAGTTTATTTTTATGACCATTGCAGTGTCCAGGAATCATGTGACCTTCTGACAAGCAAAGCTTTACAACTGCAGTGATTCATTTAACAACTGTGGCAAGAAAGATCATAAAATGGGGCAAAACTCACTTAACAAATGTTTTAGTTAGCAACATAAATTTTGAGCTCAATTGTAGTCAGAAGTCAAGGATTGTGTGTGTGCATTCGGAAAGTATTCGGACCCCCTTCACGTTTGTCAATGTTATTATACTGCAGCTTGATTCTACAATTGTTGAAATTCATTTTTTCTCATTAATCTCA